CCCAAGATACTTAAAGTTTCGTTTGTGAAGTGTCTTTTGCATTATTATGAACGACGGTTACATTTCTTAGAAAAAAAATTTACTATATTAAGACGTAAAAGTACTCTAAACTGTATAAATTCAACTGTATAAAATTAACCAATCACAAGAAAGTTATCCTATAGCCTTATGTCAAGAAAATCCCGGACTGAAGATCACTTCCGACCCTATCCGGATCCAATAAAATCACAGGATCTCGTGTAACAAAAACGCGAAAAACACAAGAAATGTAAATTTATTATGATAAAAGTTTTCAGAATGAAATTTTACTTATAGAACACAATTGTTAATGTTAGATATATAAGGAATTTTTGAGATATTTTTTTGGCCGGCAACTCGGGATTTTCTTGACATAAGGATACCTACGAAGATATACAGTTGATATTGTCTACTGTCTATTGCATGCTATCCGTTTGAGATTTTAAACGATATATGCATTTAGACCATAAAATTCCAATCTTGTTAATAATCAAATTTATCATTTTTTATATATTTATAGAGTAACCAGCATGCGCAAACTGTAGTTTTTTTCAACACGGTACAGTATTCCTAATAGAAGTGAAAATCAATTACTACAACATTGTTAACAGAAATTTTCTATTATGTGGCCATGATGTCAAGATAAAAATGATAACAATGCTAAATTTCAAGATAATGCTTCTAAACTAATTTTTCAAAAAATAAATACAATATACTTTTGTCAAATTTAAATTAAAACCTCTAAATTTATTGGAGCTCAATAAAATTAGTCTTTGGCACATACAAGAACCAGAAATCTATTAGTGATAGTTATCACATTTATTCTTAAATAGGATTATGTCGCTGCATGCTATTTGTTTCACTAAGGAAGATGCAATCATAAACCCATCTCCCCGTTTAATATATTAGCAAAAATTGTCGCATCGGGTTCCGGAAATGGAATCAAACTCTCATAAGTTTGGGATTTTAAAATTTCTAATAAATTACCTTTTTTTTAAAAAAAAAAAGATTAGCATTGGTTAATTGCTTTAATGTTATTAAAAAAACGGTTCATGGAACAAAACCTAGTTGAACTATAGACTAGATATCCCTTATTTTCAAGTTCTATAGCAGGTTCTGCTTGATGATTATCCATTTCATTTACTACTACTATCAAATCGAAGTGATTCTAAGATTGACACTGATCCTGTTTATTTTATACAATTTTGGTTTTTTTATTATTTATTGATATTTTGATTTGATAAATGAAACGAAACTATATACCAGCATGACTTATTATCAAATCGGACTCTAAATATCTTTGATTTAATGATGATTTATAATCGTATCCAACAATTTGTATTTTCATCGTCTCATTATAGGCTTCACAACTTTTCCCATATTGTATGCTTAATTTTGTATATCCTAGGGACTTTAAGTTTTGAAAACTCGCTGATGATATTAAGTCTAATTATTTAATCAAATCCTGTTGAGCCAACAGTAACGATGATTTGATTTTGTAATTAGCAGATACCCGATATTGATATTAATTTTTGGTGATTGGTTAATTGTTGGCATTCATCCACCTTTTCTAGCATGTTGATTGGCTGTACTATGTAAAAAAAACGTTCAAAAATAATGCACCACGCGATTTGTAATAAATGCTCGCATTGGCAATAATAACAGCATTAAAATTTTAATTAAAGAAGATGATCGCCACTGTATTTACCAAATAGGTTTGTTTTAATACAAAAACTAAGTTAGCTATAGGGTCGGAATTTCACTCAGTATCATATGCAAACAAATAATTCGTTATATCGAAATATTCCTAGGCTAGTAACGAGTTCGGATACGATATATAAAATTTTACAATAGGTTCTGCCAGATCTGGCTCGAGTTCAGTATAAACAAGTTCGATATCCAGAGTCGACTGTATTTTTTCACCAAGTATAATATCCGGATATTTTGTATGGAATTTTATATAAGGCCCAGGTATATTGCAGCATCAATATACAGTATTCCCATCACTTATTTCATAAACAAGTCCATTTCATCGTTAGTTTAAATTATAAGAAAAACTTGTATATAAAATGAAATAAACCACCTGTGAAATGAGAATTAATTTCTGTAAAATAAGTCTGAATTAAATTGAAATAACATTAATTTCAAATGCAACTATTGTTAAAAAACAGTACGTATGCATGAGTAATAAATCTAATACGTAACGATAAATGGTATGTATCAGATATAGTAATTAATATTGTAAATTATATAAACGGCAATTTTTTTCGTACATCAAATCGTGAATTTTAATATACCAATGTTTTCAATTTTTTTAAAACTTGGAACGAAGTTACCTCGACAATTGTTTAAGTAAGTTCGATGAACCTTTTTTATTTAATTCTACAATATCTGCGTTCAAAGTGTGATAAAGAATATTAAATTAAAACAGTAATAAATTTTTTAATGAAGATATCTTGACAATTGCCTAAGCAAATTTTATGGACTTTTTTTTTATTTTAATTCTGCAGGTATATTGGCAGCTACCTAAGCAATTCGAAAAACTTTGTCTATTAATTCTATGGATCTATAATGTAAAATAAAAAAAAAGTTCTTCGAATTTGCTTAGACAGTTATCGAGAAATTTTCGTTTAAAATTTAAACCCAATTTACCAAACTTTGAACGCAGATATCTTAGCAGGCAAATCCGATGAACTTTTATTTAATTTTATAGATCCGTAGAATTAAAGTAAAAAGTTTATTAACCTTACTTAGATTGTTGTTCAAAAAAAAATTTTTATGAAACAAATTGGTGTTCGCGATTGGCTGAGCTCGATTTGGTGTACGTGAAGTTACACGAATTGGTATAAATAAATGCGATTACTGTAAGTCATGTGATAAATCTTATACAAACTTGAATAATTATAAAAACCTGTTCTTTTCAATAGCTGAAGTCTAATAATGCCTCAGAAGAGAGGTAAAGTCCAATAGTTCATAATATGGTGTGAGCACAAGAAATTTTTCGCTACTAAACGTTTTCACACACTTTAGAAGTCACAACTACTTTGTCATATCAAGCAAAAGCATCTTCACGGAGATCGTTGTTCATTCCAAGAGATACAAGAGACACGAAAGATATAGCAAAGCTTTCGCAAAAAGATCTTCAAAACCAACTTGAAAAAAATCTCAGACTTCTTGCAAATGAGTGGGTGCATTCTTGTTTAATGTTCTCTTTTGATCGAGTCCTGTATTTGTATGATTTATGCCAAAAATGTTGTAGAGAAATTATTTCAAAATTGCCGGACAAAGGACAGAAGCTACATGAAACAAATTCGCGAATCAAAAAGCAACTCGAAAAACTCAACTCTAAAACAATACCGTTGAATCAGTTAGAGGATCAACTGAGTAATATAGCAATTAGTGATAACAAAAAACAAGCGAATAAAGTGGGAAAACACTATCAGAATAATAGAACTACCAGCTTTATATCTATATCAGAAAGCATAAAACTTCAAGAAAAACAAAAGCAACTTGAAGAGGTTTGATTTATACAATTAATTTTTATTTTACAATATTATATGATCATCCCTGGTTATAATCACATTCATCACACTCTTGGGCCAAAAACAAAAGTAATGAATTGTGATTATAACCAGTATGACTATAACAAAGGCTGACTGTATATAAGTAATTAAATAAGTCATAGTTAACAAATTATTTGCTACATTTACAGGAAATTAGGTTTAAGCAGTTAACTGAGCAATTTGAAAAGATGACGGTTAAAAGTGATATAGGCAATTTTACACAGTATGTTATTGAAGAACACTTTTCGTATTAATATATTTGGATCTTTACTGAACATTTTTTAATAATCCTATAGATATCGTACCACAAGTGATGGTGAACTTGAGGAAATAGTTTCTGATGAAGAGTCAAGCCATTCGCATTACTCAGATGATGATGATGATCAATATTATTAATATTTTTGATCAGTTATGATTTGTTAAATATAATCTGTTAAACATGTATATTCGTCATATAAAAATTATGGGATGTAATTATTTTCTTCCATAAGGTAAAAATTAACGAAAGAGAAATTGATATTAATTCATTTTTCTATCATATTATATAATTATTTTATTTGAAATTAACTAATTTATATCGGAACCCCCATTAATAAAAATTTTATTTAATTACATTCTTATTCATAAATAACACGATCGATTCTCAACATATGGGGTTTTTGCCCTGAAAATCAAGTTATGAGACAGTAAATTATATGACTCATGACTAGGCAAAAACCCCATATATTATTGTATTATAATATACTGTATATATGAATATAACATATGTCATCTCTGATGATCATTAATAAAAACAAAGTGCTTTTTAGAATTCTGATATTTAGTGTTCACCTTCAAGAACTTCACTTAGAAACGAATATTTTTACTATATCCTGCTAATACTAGTTATGTTAACTATATAATGCAAAAACGATCAACAAAACAAGATTGAAACGTTACATGTAAGCTTTAAACTAGAAGAGGTTTACCGTTTAACATCTATATATTATAAAAACAATAGATTTGTACAAATGCTTACTGTATACTTTACGTATTTTGAATACTACTAGATTAGTAAATGTAACTTTGGGTTAGGTATGTAATAGGTCGATAAGATATTTAAGTGTTATTTCATCATAAATTATATAAGCCAAGGGTCACGTCGCATCTCTAATAAAGGTCGAGATGACAAAAAATTAGATTTATTTTAACTATTAAAAATATAATAAATAAAGAATAAAATAATAAAGCCACACAAATTTAATATCATGGTTTTCATAACATGAACCTTTTAAACAGACCTGTCGACCAGCTTTTTTTTAAATAATTTCATATGAATTTTTTTGTATTTTTCTACAATTTTCAAAATTCGACCCAGCCTGGTTATGAAAACCAATTAATTAATTTTGCATGGCTGAATTTATCCGTATATTGAATACTTTTTTGATCGATTTGAGCTTGTTGGGCTTAACGGTTAGAATGGGGTGGATGCTGCCAGCAGCTCCAAGTTCGAACCCGGCTGTCCTGATATGTACAGCAGTTTTCGGTGTCTTCGGATCGAGGACTAATCGCGATGGTTGAAGTACTAGGACTGGCAACATCTTTTTATTTATTTGTTTTTTTATTATTTGAAAGCATATTTTTAACTATATATTCGTTATCAGTTATATGTAACTTTTTTTATGAGAGACAAAACCCTGCCAACACCTTAAATTTCTTACAAAAAAATGCAAGACTTAATACTTTCATCGACACTTTTGTTTGACACTTTTATTTTCCTAAAATTATTAATCCAAGGATTTAAATTTGCTATTCAAGTTCATGAACATTTATCATTTTATTTTGAATTTTATATTGATTTAGAGGGTATATTATAAAGAACATTCAAGTTCATAAAAATCCACTACTCAATTTGATTCAGTTCACGTTAACTTGGGTAAGCAAAATTATTTACATAGAATTGATAATTATAAATAGGTGAATATACGTAATCTAGACCAGTGTTGTACATGGACACTGTCCACACGTATTACTTGGACATTGGATAATGTTCAAAAATATAAATTGTCATTGGACAAGCAGGGGGAACATTCGTTTCCGATGATTTTCCGGGATCAACTTTACACGAATATTTATATGGGATTGTTGTATAACTACCCCAGGAATTTCCTTATGTCAAGAAAATCCCGAGCTGCCGGCCAAAAAGATATAGGTCGTAGTATATAAGAATTCTTTATATATCTAACATTAACAATCGTGTTTTATAAGTAAAATTTCATTCTGAAAACTTTTACTTAGAGGTCGGAAGTTA